GACGGTGCGAAAAGTAAGAACTGACTCTCATAACTCTTGCGTCTCATTCACTTGGTAAGGCTAGGGCATCGGTGACTTGACATGCTTGTGATTTACGTATCGACCAGTTGTGATAATGTGATGAGTAGGGCGCCAACCATGGACTTTCTTTGGCCAGAAATGATTCTCACTATGCGTGGTCTGGTGATTTGGCTCCGCCAGAGATTGAAAACGTGTTGGTCAGCAACATCAATCTCAAGGTTAAGGACTCACCTGCACATTTTGGACAACTGACTTCGTTGGTGAAATACAGAAAGAAAAATTCAAAACCCACGAGGTCACTTATGCATTCGCCTAAGCTACTCTATGGCGAAAGCAACGTTCTTTTCTGTCCTCATTGACTCTGCCTTTTTCATTATATTTTTGCACTTAATAAGGTTTCGCACATCCCCCGTGATATAAGGCATTGCAAGGTTTATACGCGTCACCTGGTTGTACATGGCCTTCATGATCGGCCCATGGAGGCAACGCAAAGTGGCTATGTCAGGTGATGACGGCATCATATGACACACGCTCAGGTACGTCATGATGTTGTCACCAAGTTCATTGATCTGTGGCATAATCACGTGATGTTTTTGCGTCACTCGTGCTTAATACGTAGAATGCCGGTGGTCAATTCCTGCATTTGATGAGGCCGCTAAGGCGTTCACCGTGACGAAAAACAGGACAAATCAAAGTAAATCAATAACAGCTCCCCACCAAGTACACCTCAGTTTATGTTCACCTTAAGACAAACATGATTATCAGTAATGTTGCTGTGATACCCAAGAGGCTTGATTTTTACCTATAATCTTGTCTTTTCTTATTTGATGAACAGGCAATGGACACGCTGTGTCAGTTATAAGGAAAATTTCGAGCTGTAACTGTATTACGGAGTATATAGGGGGGAAAAGGTATTGTATGCTCTATTGAGCTCATCAGGAAAAAGCAGAATATTGCCGCCAGGTGTCCTGTGGACGCGCACTAAATTGCTGCTGAAACAACGCCATTTCCCTCGTAATTACCTTTTTGCAAAATTTATGAGCCGTGCCAACGCCAACCGCCACAAGCCGTCAAAATTCGTAAAGTTTTTATACGGACGTTCAGCGATACCTGCAGATATAAGCAAAGCCGGCGTACGAGTGAGCACAGGGCTTCCAAACAACTCTCTCTCTCTCTCTCTCTCTCTCTCTCTCTCTCTCTATATATATATATATATAATATATATATATATATATATATATATATATATATATATATATATATATATATATATATATATGGGAAGGAATTGTATACGTAAGGGCTCGTTTTTCCGTATTTTGACACAATAATAATGAGATCTAACGTACAATAATGCCAAGGGATGTATAGGGGAAATTATTAGACCGATTGTAGTGTAAATGTTAAGAAAGAAATCTGGGTGAAAAGATAACTTGCCCGGAGCATAACCTGTGATCGAACCGAACCGAATCTACGATTGAGCTACCACAGTGGCTATTCCTCCAGCCACTTTATTGTGTCAGTCAGCACTGTTGCGTTTGACGAGCCCTCCCCCTTTACGTGGGTGCCAGGATCAAAGAAAAGTAGCCGCTTCACTTTTTGAAGATAAGGAGGAGTGTGAAGACGCCCGGCTGGTTTTCATCTACTGGGTTGCACCGTCTAACCGTGGTTGCACCCAGTTAGACGGAGAGCCTAACTGCAGTTCTCCCACTAAGCATGGTCGCTCCAAACTAACGTTGGCCACCTCAGTTAAGGAAGGTAAACTCACAAAATTGCGGCTCCCACCACAGCGGTCGACAGTGGCATGGCTCCGACACAGGCCGAACCATCTTCCCAAAGGCGCATCAATTGGTTCTTGTCGAATTGAGAGACATTGATTCGCCTTTGAAAAGATAATCTTCGCGGCCTGCGATCCAACTTGCGTAATGCGCGTATATAGAAAGAGATGACCCGCGACCTGAATGCGCACTTGCCTGCAGGTGAAGTGTCGTTTACCGCCAAGCAGGTGCGGCAGAAGTTAGAAAAGTTAAACAAGCGCTACCGGAAAGTACAAAAGCACAAAAGCTTTGTTACTAAGCTCGTTGCAATGTTGTGTAGCGGATGTCTGTGTGGTTATAAGGTGCCTACTGCACCACTGCTGTTGCAGCCACTGTCAGACGGTGCACGTATAGGCTTAAATTTACGCGCAAACGTAGCTCCGACGTGCTTTTTGAGTGGGCAAACCGCCCGAAAGGCGTTATTTTACAACGCCTTGCATGAATAACGAGCATGTGCGTCCTTGACGCACGAGCATGTGCGTCAATTGTGGTATATGCCGATATTTCACCTCGATGTCTCAGCCAACATTGAAAAGTGCCTGTATTAAATACCTTTTCAGCTGCTGGTAATTGCTGGTGAGCATCAAGCCATCAAATACTTACAAAAATTAGCGCTTCTCTCGTGCTGGCACGTGATTGAACTTGTAAACATTGCTTCTTTGATGCCTAAATAGGCATACAGCGGAGGTAAACACACAGAATTAGCGTCTATTTCCAATCTTGTTTGTAACCTGTGTAGTTATATGCAGCTACATTCTATATCCAACTCACTCGTCCACCAGAACAAAAGATTATTTGCGTAGACGCCAATGTATGCGCAAATGCCCACTGAGCTATGTTGTAGTAGTAATTGTGTACATTCTGAATGCACCTAATGTGCGCATGTATTGCAGAGTTCCTCATTATTAATGCACGTTCTCTGCGGGCACTTTTAATGAAGCAAGAATCTGAGCTCATAACATCTTTGGACAAAAAAAAACAGGAGCATTTTGATGCCGAGCGTTGTGTTGAGCTATAAACAAGTTTTTGTTTCTTTAGGCAGCTCAAACGTTGTGGTACAACGGGGTCTAAGGGTGCGGACTGGCCATATTACTGGCTTTAGCATTCCTATTTGGGCACTCTTCCTGTCAATGACACCAGCCTTGAGAAGGAAAGTGTATAGGTAACTGCCATTTTCAATTTCAAGGCTTTCACATATGTCACATTGGTGTACCACTTCATGAGCGCTCCTGGAGCTTGAGATGTTCACTAGTGATGAGTTGTGCCAATGAACATCCATCAATCAGAATGCAGGTCTGTTTGAGGGCATAACTACAAATAGTCATTGACGTGGGTATACGATAAAAGAAAAGTGCGGTTGCAAGTAATTGTAACAGAAGCAACAAAAATTATTTGTGTATACTGAAAAACCCAAAGACTTGCACCGTCAAGGAAAAAATTTAAAAAAATACAGAAAGGACGTCACTCGCAACTAACTTTATTCTCAGAACATCAGTGTCACACATAATCACAGCAACAATGCGCGCTCACATCGCCACAGATGCTCGTCGGAAAACATGCAGTGAGATGGACAACTAATCGAAAAAAAAGAATCGATGAAACTAAATTCTCCCCACGCAGAGCAGCAGATGTGTCTTTAACACAGCATTCTTTCTAATATAGTATACTTCCATGATTTGTGTTTGCATTTGTGGAAATAAGTTGCACTGAAAAGTAGAAAACACTATTAAATATTACCAGGTGTTATTGTGAAACAATGACACTTTCATGGATGGTCATGATTTACATTGGTGACTGACAGGTGAAGCAGGAATACAATTGCAAATTTAGGATGCATGTAGCTAATGAGAATCTAGCGCGTGTGGTGATGGTACTTTATTAAGAGTCATAGGCAAGATATCTCGCCACTGATTGCTAGGTAAAATCATGTAGTTTTATGAAAAAAAGCCTCTGATGAAAGTCATTTAGGAATGTAGGCTTTGAACTGACAGTAAGCTTTGAGTATTTTTTCCCCTGTTATACACAGGTGCCAGAAGTTAATAAAGCACCTGCAGGTGCTGAAGTGCTAGCCACATAGGAAGAAGTTGAAACTGAAGATAACACTGTGGTAATGGAGGAGTCGAGCACAGTCAACGTTCAAGGTGACAGCGATGCTACTTCCAACTGCAATACCTCTGCAGAATCTGAGGGCCAGCCTAATGCCAATAACTCCAGCAATAAGAAGAAACAAAAAAGGGCAGCAACAGGTTTACAGGAACTCATCGACCTACATAAGAAAGCCGAGGAACGCAGTGCAGGCTTTGCCTCACAGAGTATGGACCACTAGAGACAACTCCTGCAGCTCCAGAAAGATTCTAATGAGACTCAGAAAGAAATGTTCGGCTTTCTTAAGTCTTATTTGCATTTTGGTTCTCAAAATAAACCGTAAATCTATGAAGCTTAGCTTGGCATTTTTTTCATTTTTTAAGCTTGTTCATAATGATGTCATCCCGAATACCCAATAGACTGTTTTATGGGCGGGTTTCGGTGATGCTATATTGAGCTCTAGGTTTACTACTTGATATCCTTCATTAAACGACTACTGATAGGGCGACTTCATGAACATGAAAATCTTTGCATTATTGCATTCGACATTTCTTGACTTTATTATGTTACACTATAATCTAAACTAATACCAGAACATTTTTTTAACAGCCCAAGGTGTCAGTGCCGAGATTTCTTTCGTAGAACTGCGTACAATTAAAAACAACTTGACTGTGACACAACTGTAAAAGCAGGCTGTTAGTGCCAACCAATCTGTTGAAATTTTCAAGAAATAATTAACTGCTACATAAAACTGCAATGATGAGCACTTGCATCAGTACCTCAACAGTCTTGTGCACAGTACATGCTTCTCCAGCCATGTATTGAGACATGCAATTTAGCATCATGTATATATGTTCAAACATGTTAAACATAAGGAAGAGTGACAGAAAAGTGGGGAAGTGTGTGATAATATGTGTACGAAAATCATCAGTGAGTGTAAACCTGGAACACATCACAGCAAAAGAAAAAAAAGAGAAGTGCACAAGACTTTGAAATGATAAAAATGATGAGACAGCTGAAATTTAGTTGCTACAATTCATTGGAAACTTCCTCTTTGATGCACCGAGAACTGCATGCTCAGCTAGCTTGGCCAACAGTGAAGCTCTTGGCAAGAGCATCTGGAACCGCTACTACATGTGGCTCTGACCGTTGACTTCTGCACACTGGTTGTGTCCGGCTTTTGTCTTGTCGCACCACATCTTCCATCCAAGTGATGTCGCATTGATCTTTGAGTTCTTCACATATGTTGTGCAGTATGCAACAAGCCCTAATAATGCGGTTGATATTGTCAATATCGACTTCGATGCCTTTGTGCATGATTCGAAAATGTGCTTTTAGCCTGCCAAAAGCATTCTCAGCAACCCGTCTAGCTCTCGACAAGCGGTAATTGAACACCTGCGAGGCCGAACCAGATGGCCCTGCACGAGAGAAAGGTTTCATAAGGTGGCACTGCAAAGGAAATGCCTGGTCACCGAGGAGGACGGGGCACACTGAAACTCCTTCAACATCCTTTGCCTCCAATTGAAAGAGTTCACTGGCAAGCACTTTTGGCAGTCGCGAGCTTTCGAACACTGCAGCGTCGTGGTTCTTCCCAGGTGACCCCATGTTCACGTACATAAACTTGTACCGGGGGTCCACAACAGCAAGAAGTATGGTGCTTTACCACCCTTTATAGTTATAATGGTCGGTGCCATGTACTTTAGGTGGGCAAACCTCTATGCGGCAGCCATCCAAGGCACCCAGGCATTGCGGCAATCCGTTCATCGCTCGGAATTGCCTCAAGTGTTCCTTCAATTCCCGCGTGTGTGGAAACCTGACTAGGCGCTTCTCTAGGCACCGCACAACCGCACCGCGGAATTCCCGAACGTTGTTGTTGACAGAAGAGCGGCTTACGGCAAAAAGGTTAGCCACGGTTCTGTCTTCCGCGGAGGTGGCGAGACGGTACAGGGCAATGGCGACGCACTTGTCTAAAGGAATCGCTTTGCGCATTACCGTGTCTTTTCTCTTCATGCCCTCGCACACGCTCACAAGGTACTTAAACGTAGATCGATTGACGCGAAAGTTCTCGTGGAACTTGCTCTCTGGCAGCTTAGACAATGTTCTTTCGTACCACATGCTTTCACATGGATGCATCCATATTTGCCTTTCGCGTGCGACAAGCAGCGCAGCCCCGAGCATCAATCGACAGTGTCGCTCGTCAGCACACTCCCTTTCTGGTTCAATGTTTCCGATGGCTTGTACGATGCACGCTTGCTTTGTCCGTTGGTCGTGCAGCCTGTTTGCAATGCAGTGAACGTCCTCCAGAAAAGTCGATCGTCGCTGAGACGCTGCTCCGGCGGGCAAAGAGCCATTGTGGGAAACTGACGACTGTCCACCAGCACTCACGCACGACAGAACGCAATAACGACGCTGGAAATAAAAAGAAAAACTAGATAACCAGACGCACGATCACGCTGCACGTTAAGCAAAGACCGAAGCAATCACACGCAACTGCCACGTCTACAGCGTGCGAGTGATAACGGCTTGCGAGCTACGGATTTTGTCAGACGCAAATGCGATTGTACAGCCGACTGCGCCCATTGTTTCCAGATTGTTCACAAAAAAGATAAATACAAACCAACCTGTCCTAAACTTCCTGAAAGCCAATCATATGATTACAAATGGCAAGTATTCTGATAAAAATAATATTTATACACAGTTGTACTGATAGTTTAAACCGAAACTAAAATAAATACTTTGCCTGTACGCAAGCAATCACGTGACATGCTAAGTAGCCGAGAACCGCGATCAGGATGACCCGTGTAAATCTGACAGACTTCGGTTAGCGCAAACCACTGTTGGAACGAGTTAACTGAGATTGGTCATAACTGAGGTTAGCGTGCCCGTGTAACAGGGGTATAAGACCTGTTATTGAACAGGGTGGTCTGAACCCATTCCCCGATCTCGGGATATGGGGAGAAAGTACTCTATATAATAATCCCCCCCTTCCTCTCAGCGACTTCGGAGGCGCTCTCGAAATGTATACTATGTAAATAAACTCTCTTCAAGTCTTCCTTCCTCCTGCCTTGGCGTCTTCATCCCGAATCTCCAGTGCCGCAAGGGCCAGTCGCAACAACTGGATGGCAGATGGTGGGATGAAACTCGGCGACGAAAAGCGACGTGGGCCGGAGGTCAGCCGAAATCCCTAGACCCAGAATTCGGTGAGATCAACGCAACACAAGACCGCATGGTGTACGGTGAGTGACTTGCTTTGCTCTCAGATATATGGAGTATTTTGGCCCAGACCTGTTAAGAGTTCGATAATTCATAACTGCCTAGCAATTGTGGTTATTTTCTTAGTCAGCGTCAGATGGCACTCCACGGGTTCTTTTCATTGATCCATGTGGTGTTAGTGTGATAATAGTGTCACCAAAAGTTGAAAGGTTTCGTAGCTTCTCAAAGTGTTCTTTTTTTCGAATTTCGAGAAGGAGCTCTCCGCTGGCCATTTTGGTAACTTTGTACCCGGCCCCAAGAGTTTCAGTAAGACACCTGGCTACTACAAAGGGGAATACAGTGCTCGCTTGCTTGCCACTTCCCTCACTATGTATGACATGAAAACGGGGGAAGTTTTTTTTTTGAACGATTGAAAAAACCCAAGTCTTCGGTGCGTACGTGCTTTAAGGCGGTACGATCACCTTATAAGAGAAAATCTCTATGCATGCCTGTTTAAGTTTCTTCAGAAGCGTCGGCGGCGGCCCACCACGAAGCCCAACGAGGGGACGCTACCAGTTTGCGGATGCTGAAACCTGCATACGCCAGCTGTGCAACGCAACTATAACCCAATGCGCTGAGACCAAGATAGGCTATTTGCACAGGGTTAACCCTAGCCGCCAGGAAGTTTGGCAGTAAACGGATGAAAGTAGAAGACAGGACAGATGAAAAGTGAGAGAATAAGACGAAGATGTAGGGAGAGAGAGATAGGAAAAGGCGACTGCCGATTTCCCCTGGGTGTATCAGCACAGGGGTGCCGTCTACGTGAAGCCGGGGCCAAAGGGGTGTGTTGACTCAGCCGGGGGCCTTAAAAGTCCAACCACCCAGGGTCGGCTGAACCCCCAGAATCCCCTTCTCCCCGGACATGGCTCAGTCACGCACGGCTATGCGTGGGAGGAGATTAAACCCCCTCCCCCCCCCGTTAGCTCGGGTCCGTGGTGTCGCTACACATCAAAGGCCTGCTTGCACAGACGCCCCTGCGGGGACGTGAAGTGTACTGCTCGTTGTAAGCTACAGTCTTGTTTCTAATAATGCATGATATTTACTGCAGTGTGGTGCGAACGCGGCATCTATGCTAGTACACTAATGGTGTGTTTGTTACATTCGTATTCACTACGATATTTATTTATTTTAGCATACATGCGTTTTTGAGCAATTCGGGTATTGTGCACTGATGTTGTGTATCACATTCCTAATTTCTTGCAAAATTTTATGATGTCACGTGAGTTGGATTTGAAGTTACGATTTTCCTTTTATGCTCTGCGAAGCTTTTTTTAATTAAATGTACGTAAGGAGAGGTTGGTGCCAATGCGTAGCGCCGGCTACTCCTCTTCTCTTGCACAAAAGTCAACATCGCACATTTTGTAGCAAACACAAGGCTATACATAAGAACATAGCACAACACTTACACAATGAGTTCACGTTTTTCCACACTGAGTGTCCACACCACACAGAAATAAGTCCACACTGCATAGAACTGTGTCCGCACCACACTGAGTTTGTGAAAAAAAAAAACAAAAAAACCACACAAGTAATCACGCCAATTTAAGTGTTCACACAAAAACATGAAAGTTCAATGAAATGTGTAAGGTGATTTTGTCACTTGAATACTGACATGTTTTCAGAAAGGTTTTCCTAAAAGTATGGTAGTGAAACACAAAAATAGTGTTTTGAAACATACCGCGGGTAACATTTGTTTTTGTTTAGTACTTTTGAGCAATTTCTGATACCTCCAGAAAGTGAACGACTGCACGTGCTGCAGTGGTTTGTAGCTTTCTTTTTGGCCATTGACCCAAGATTTTTGCAATTGATGGAGGTCGCTTATCCAAAGAATTGAGTTTTTGAAAAAGGTTCTTTCAAGGTACGTACTGATTTTTACATTGCAAAAGAATATGCTCCAAGTCTTATTGAGCATCTCCACATGAGCACGTAGGACGGCCAGCTTTCCTTATTCTATACAGGAACAGGAAAGCCTTCGTGTAGGCTGTACCAAGTCGAAGCCTATGAATGACTGTTTCTACCGATCGGCTAACCTTTAACGGAATATTCAAGTCTACCGGGATCAATGTTATACAACAGAGAGTTTTGCGCACCATTTTCGAACCAGGTTTCCTTAGACAGTGGACAGCTCAGCTTATTTATTAGACACCGTGCATCGCTCATCGATAGAGGTAGCAGTGATATATAATTTTCCTGATGTGCTGCACGTGCAATGTGCTCAGCTATGTCGTTTCCTGTGATTCCACAGTGGCTTGGCACCCACTGGAACATTATGGTGTGGTTTAAATCTTTTGCTAAAGCGTACGTCCTCTGTATTTCATATGCAAGCTCACTAGCTTTGTTTCCCAAGCTGATTCCTTTTAAAGAAACTAACGAGGACTGTCAGTCACTGATAACTACCCATCGAAGTGGACCTGGCTGTAAACATATGAAGCGTAAAGCACAAAGTATTGCATAGAGTTCTGCCGTTGTGGATGTTGTGAAATGACTGAGTTTAAAAGCTTTTCTCGCTTGGTATGCAGGTACAAAGAATGCCGACTTAGAACTTTGATTCCGACATGATCCGTTGGTGTACACGTTAATATAGTCTTCATAGTCAGTATAAAGGTGTGTTCAAGTTAATTGCTTTATTACGATTATGGGCAGATCATTCTTACAATTTATTCCCGGAATCGAAGTTGTAATATCGGGGATAGAGAGTCGCCATGGTGGGTGGGATGCACATGGAGGCCAGTATTCGTGCGTAGGCAGTAAACTCTTGAATTCTACCATATTTTCATGTATTCTTGCAGCTGATCTTTCCTGAATAGCTCGGTATAGGGGATGATTAGTCTGTTTAGTTGCCAACCGAAGATAATGCCGGCAAGTTTCTGTAAATCTCATAGCATGGAAAGTCGGTTGACGAGACTCCCCAGTTACTAAAGCACTGGCAGACGCTCGCGGTACACCAAGACATATACGAAGGCTTCTGGCCAACACTCTTTGAATCCTCTCCTCTAAGTTACGTGATATCCTATCTAAAACCAGGGCAGAGTAAGCTATTCTTTGTCGAATTATTGCTGAATGTACACGCAATAAAGAAGAACATGAACTACCCCATCTCGCTCCGGTCGGTCGACGTAATATATTGATTAGGGAGTTAACTTTGTCCTCTAATGATTTTATCTGTGGTGCCCAAGACAGACGTCTGTCTAAAATAACCCCTAAAAATTTGTGCTGCCGCACAAATTGTAAGCGCTGAGAGTCTATCTGAAGTTTGAATTTCTTGTGGCATTTTCTTGTGAACGGAAGTACATGATGTTTTCTCATGGGAAAGAATCATGCCTCTGCTCTTAAAAAAGGCATTGATTATTGTCAGCCCATCTTGAAGTTTTTGCTGAACTGCTTGAATGCTCGTGTCTGACGCCCAAATGCACAAATTGTCTGCATATATGGAATAATTCAAACTATTAGCTAAAATATGGGATATTTCTGCCATAACGCAATTAAATAAAAATGGGCTTGATACGCTACCCTGTGGGACTCCTTGACTAACTTCATGCTCTTTACTTTTACCGTCCACCGTGTCAATGAAGATTTTCCTGTCTCTTAAGCATTCTGCAATCCATCTTAGTGTCCTGCCTACTATTCCCAACTGAAATAAACCGTGTAGTACATGAGCGTGGCTGGTTGTGTCAAATGCTCGCTTTATATCTAAAAATACTGCAATGACGATTCTTCGACAGCTCCTCTCATGATCTACATAAGTTACAATGTCTAGAATGGCATCCATGGTGCAGCGGCATTTACGATAGCGTGCCATATTTTCAGGAAGCACGTTCATACGTTCCACCCACCAATGAAGTCTAGCGTCTATCATCTTTTCC